ATGGTCTCACAGTACGCTATGTTGCTAAGCAGGTGGTCTGTAAGGTATCAGCTGGAGCCATCCTTAAGACGTGTGGCTTTGTTCCTAGACGCAGGCGCTGCGGTGAGCAAGGGAAGACCACACGTTCAATTTTTTAGGAAAAGTCTTTCTTGTAGATGATTTGTGTAAGCGTTAGTATAGTTAGTGAGGGGATAGTGGAACCGGAAGAAGCTGCTGGCTGCAAAAGAAGAAGTCATTGCGGTGGAAGGCTGTGATAATTTCCTAAAATCTAACTGAACCTTATGGAAGCGGGCTGTAGCAGATCTAACTCTTTACCTAAATGAATTGCACAGGCAGGAAAAAAGCACCATGCTACATTTTGCTGCACAGATCTCTGATAAGAACAGCAGTGGATCAGGGACTCTCTCCTTACTCCAATGTTGAGAAGCAGATTGGAGGTGGTATTCGACTAAGTTTTCCCCTGAGTACATACATTGTAGTTAGTGAACATGAGTAAGTTAGGCCCACTGATTTCAATAAGGGTACTTTGTGTTACCCTTCATTGAATACCACCCTGGACACCTTCCTCAAAGTGTACTTTCTCTGCAAAGCTTTTTGGCACAAGTCCCTAGTCTTCATGGCATTCTCTAACTATGCCTAAGTATGTGCAACTGAACATATCTGTTTATCCCTGTCTCCATTTCCCTCCTCTTCCTCTGGGTCATATTACAGATTGCACTCCCCTCAGGACAGGATCCTGTGCTCTTGTTCTCTGTAAAGAACTATGCACTTTGGTCCCGCTCTGTAAATAATGCATTGGGCAGGAGTCACCTAAGAAGTCACATCATCACAAGCCCTGTTCGAGGACTTCTGCTTGCGCAATGGGGCCTTCCCCTCTTCCTCTCCCCTCATTTATAAAACATGGAGTCCTCATGTTCAGTCAGTATGTCTACCTTGGGCTGGTGGCAAATTGGATGGTGATAATAGTTACCTTTTGACAATTCCCCCCCCCCCTTTTACTAGGTGAGATACGAAGCCATCAAAATTCCAAAATGGCTTCCATTTTCAGAGATGCACTCAGTAGATTACTATTCCTCTTATACAAAGAACTGCACAGAGAAATTTACGGAGAAAGAAATCAGAGATATCCGAGCACATTATTATGCCATGTGTGCAGAAACGGATGCAATGCTTGGTAAGTGATATCCTGATTATCTTACTAATATCATAATGTATTTCTCAATACTATTACTGCAAAGATAGTTTTCTTCCCTGATTCTAGCCATGTAGAGGCTACAGTCCTAATTATGCATTATTCAAAGTCTTAGAACTTCAGCCTATATATTTTTCATAGCTAAGCTTCGCGTAAAAAGATTTTTTCCAGAAAGTAACAACTAGATGTTTTCTGTTGGGGTTTCTTTAATCTATTATTTAATAAAACTTCTATCATACTCAACCTACAAGGTTAGAATCTGATCCATGAAGAAAACAATATGTCTCAGTTCATGTATTAAGGACTATGGTAACGTCATTTCAGTTGCAGAGGCCAGGACTAGGACCAGCCCACCCATGAGGTTAGGCTGAAGCAGCTGCCTCAGGCAGCAGAATCCTGTGGGGTGGTGCCCCCACCCCTGTGGTGCCCCCACCCCTGTGGTTGCGCAGCTGCAATGGCAGCTGCATCTTCTTCCAGCAAGATCTCACAGAACTCTCGCAAGATCTTCCCGGAGGAAGGTACAGCTGCGCAGAAGGGTAGCCACTTCCTTGTTTTGCCTGGCAAAATGCAAGAGGCCAGGACACAATCTCAGGAGTGTACACAGCAATCTTAATGCAAATAATGTATTATGTGAGCCAAGCAATTATGTTTACAAATGTAGCTCTGTACTGTGAGGATATTCAACTAAGTCAAACTTAGTAGACCCACTGAAATAAATGGACTTGACCAACTTTATTTCAATGGGTCTACTCTTGATTCAGGCTGGATATCATCCGGTACATCTGAGCTTCCTGAGACCAGGTCTTGGCCACCACAACATAAATGACATTAACCTGGTTTTAGATGTCTGTACCAAACATCTGAGGGACACGGGTGGTGCTGTGGTCTAAACCACAGAGCCTAGGGCTTGCTGATCAGAAGGTTGCCGGTTTGAATCCCCATGACAGGGTGAGTTCCCGTTGTTTGGTCCCAGCTACTGCCCACCTAGCAGTTCGAAAGCATGTCAAAGTGCAAGTAGATAAATAGGTACCACTCCGGCAGGAAGGTAAACAGCATTTCCGTGTGCTGCTCTGGTTCGCCAGAAGCGGCTGAGTCATGCTGGCCACATGACCTGGAAGCTGTTTGTGGACAAACGCTGGCTCCTTCGGCCTATAGAGCGAGATAAGTGCCGCAACCCCAGAGTCGTCCGCGACTGGACCTAATGGACAGGGGTACCTTTACCTTTACCAAACATCTGTAGCAGAAAGTGCTGCAAAGGGAGTGTTGAGTGTTGTCATGCCTGCAGTACAATTCTGACAGGAGTGTCATTGGGGAGGGAATGTAATTATTCTGGTGTATTTGTTCTCTGTGGCTTAATACATGTAAGACATGTACTTTATGGAAATAATATTCTGAGATGGCTGTTTTGGGGGAAGAGGTTGGAAATGAAAGGATATTCAAGCACATCAATTCTGACACTGTAGCATTTTTATATTGTTATTGCCAGAAGAGCAGAAAAATTGTCAAGGAACATCTACTGAAACTGAAGTGAGGTAGAGTGAGGAATCCTCTCAGTTATTATGAATCTTCTTTTTATATGTTGGCTTCACATCTGGAATGCTGTTCCCATCTGCTGCAGAATTTGGCATTCTGAGAATTCCAGCTTTAATTCCTAAAAGCCTAAGTGTAATGAGAGAGATGGAGAACAGAAGCGAGAAGGAGCTTAGGTCAAGCATTTTCTTTGGGTAGAATTTTGGTGCCCTGCTGTCTCTTTGGTGATCTATGAGCAGTATGGAAAATCTCCATGTTTTGGGCTTACTGATCAGTTATTACAATCCATGCCAGTAGTTGTAACTTCTTTGAAAACCCTTAGCATATGTAGAAATTCAGGAGAAATTTGACAGTTTCATACATGATAATAAACACTTTGGGTGAAGTCAAGAGAACTACAACGAACCCAGATATTGACAACTCAAATCCTAGGTACACTCATAAGCAAGTCCCATTGTGTTCAGTGGAGCTTACATCCAAATAAGTATGCATGGGGTAGCCAGAATTTTTTGTTGTGGGGACAGACCTTTTGTTAAGAGGGGCAGGCCTTTTGTTGGGAGGGGGGCAGAACCTCAGTTTGCTATGTATTTGATTGATTTCTATTTATTATGGGGGGGTAGCTGCCCCTCCCTGCCCCCCCAGCTATGCCCATGTAAGTATGTATAGGGTTGTGGCCTAAATCTTGCATCTGAGCATGTGCACCACTTTAAATGGGATTCAGTGCAGTTTTAAAAACTCTTGCAAGTTTCAGACTATTAAAGCATACTTTGAGATTTGTATGGTAGACTTAAATGTGAGCTTCTAAAAGTGGATAACGGTGGGTGTTTAGCAACAGATTAGCAAAATGCAGCATTTCAGATGGAGATTTCTGGAAGTATGGAAGCCACAGTTGTGCACGCTGATATTTAGCTGTGGAAGGAACTTATTCAGAGTTCTCAAGGAGAAAATAAACTGCCCCTCATGATCTCCCATAATCAGCTTCTCTCCATCCTCCCAGAGGACTTTTCTTTGGAATCCTTGAAACAGCAACGACTTCTGTATAAATGAGAACACAGGCAATGTGATCTAGTGCTTTCATTGCACTGGCAGAAGAGCTACCTCCTTGTGACATCTAAAAACTATTTTTATGCATGTCAATGTTTAATGAATATTTTGATGTTTGTGCATTAACCCTCCCTTATATTTTGTTGCAGGTGAGATAATTTCTGCTCTAAATGACACAGGACTACTCAGAAGGACTCTTGTCGTATTCACTGCAGATCATGGAGAACTTGCCATGGAACACAGGCAGTTTTACAAAATGAGCATGTACGAAGCAAGCTCCCATGTTCCTCTCCTTATAATGGGACCGAATATTAAGCTGCAATTCGTCCCCAATGTGGTGTCCCTTGTGGATATCTACCCTACCATGCTCGGTAAGCAATATTTCTGTTGGAATAGCAAGCTCACTTCATATGACCAGCAGGGATAAAAAAATATTTAAAACCATTCCCTTTGCTAACATATGAATGCAGGAGATGGCTTAAAAGCACGAGCGGCTCACCTGGGACTGTCTAGAAGTTGCTGGACTACAGCTCCCATCATCCCTTACCTTTGGTCATGCTGGTTGAGGCCTGTGGGAGTTGGAGTCCAAGAACGTCTGGAAGAGCACAGGTTAGCCACCCCTGGTTTTCAAGCATGGCTGACTAGCAACCATGGTGTCACTACTGTCAGATAACTTCCCCAACATGCCTACACCATGTTGTGGTTTACTGCTCAGCTTGCAAAGAAGGGACATTTAAAGGATCCGACACTGATCAATAAAGCCAAAATTTGGAGATGCCCCAGTCAGTTTCACCTCCTTTGATTTAACGTTAGTTTATATGAATAGTGTATTTTTGTCGACATGTGCACCGAGGCCACTCTTGTTTCATGCACGCATCGCCAGAATGATACTTACACTGCTCTGCGCAGATATAAAAATCACACTTTAAAAAAAATAGTGTGCTCAAAGGACATGTAACGGGATATATATTTAGGCAGGTGGGCATGAAGGTTTCCGCAGAGCTCCAGTCATTTCCAAAATGAGATATTACTGAATGTTTTAATAATGGGGGAAATGATTTTTTTTTTAAAAAAAAATCCTGAATGAAATAATGAGACTCTCAAAATCCTTCTGAAATTATAAACACCTGGAACGTGGAAAATAATGTATTCTGCCTTATTTCCGTTTCTGCGTCAAAAGTGTCCCATTTGCGGGAAGGATGAGAAATATTTCCTGGAGAAAAGAAACCCTTTTAATTGTGGGAATATTTGCCTTTTTACAGTCATGTTTGTTGCTGTTGGTTGTTCTGTCTGCTGCAGCTTGATTTCCTTCCCACCAAATTTCTGAGTATTGCTTCTTCTTCCTAGACTTAATCACACAGGCAATCCTAGACTAATCACAGGCCACATAGTGACCTGAATGTTGTCAAGGCACTAAGAAACTTGTTAGATTTAGCTATGTGACATCGCTGAGGACAAGAAATCAATGTGAAACTGGGATCATTGCTACCTGGATCAGTGACATGAGTTATCCCACCTATTATCGTCATCATCTTTGATTTATTCATTGCCTTCTGAACAACCATTTACACATAAGAGTATTAACAACACTTAAAAACACCAAAACAGCAAATACATAAAGACAGTACTGAAACCCTAGCAAAGTAGACACCCACAGTAAAGAACAATTTATCCAACTGGGAAAGTTCATTGGAACAAAAATGTATTCAGTTGTCTAGGGGTCATTTAGTAAATAGGATCTTGTAATATTGCATAGCCAATTTGATTTTACTGAGAGAAACAAAGCTAATTTGCTTGCCCTGGCATTGTCTGAAGGCACATGGTACAGTTTTATGGAAGTGCAGCAGCATAAAATTAATGAGTGTGAGGATGATACTTCCTAGACCGGTCACATGGGCGATCCCAACCAATTGGGAATCACACTGTGAACATGATAAGATGGCCATGCTTCATAGTTAACTGTATTTGACATGACAGTACTGTATTACGGAAGGAAAATTGGGTCAATTCAGAGGTGAGGGCAAAGCCTTCTGAATAGGTGAGCTCTTATGAAGGAATCACTGAAAGGTCGCCAAGAAGTTGGGGATTTCTACACTGCTGGAAAATAGTACTTTCAGTTCAAACCCTATATTCTAACTAGAGACTTTAGTTTAACATTACTAATGAATGAGTCACACAGTCTCTTAAACAAATCTCAGCCCCTACCTTCTTGTTCCAACTGTCTTAATTCCCCCCTCTCTCTTCTTGAAGTTTGTATTTTTAAATCACCGTCCTTCCTGTGCTCTCATTCTCCATATGTTCTCTCCTGGTTCTTCCTTCCTGTATTCAGCATATTAAAAAAATACAAAAAAAAAATAAAAAAATCAAAAATGATTAATTTATTTAGGTGAGTAACAAACAAATGATTAATGTTATTTTCTCAGACACTCCGACTGATGAAGTAAGCTCTGACCTTATCTGTAGTAGATAGGAATATAGTCTCTGTCTGTGTGCCTTGCCATTTGATTTTACAGTTTGTTTCTGTACATGTATGTGTCACTTCTTAACAATTTCCCTTAAAGGTGTGGTGGTGTATCTAACATGGCACAAACAGACTTTTATTCCTGCAGCAGATTTTGCCATCCTGTATTTCTCTTTGTACGGACCCCCCCCCAAAAAAAAAATCACTCCAGAGGGTTCCTCAGCCCTCTGAAGCATGTTTTTGAAGATATGCAGGGATGGAAAGGGACAGGAAGTTCAATTGCACAAGTGGATGTCTGTTCCATTTGTGCAGTGACAGCACTGGATGCAACCTATGGTGTTGTACTTCCATCTTAAAGGTTGTTTAAATTAGGCAGATGGGGGGGGGCTTCAGGGAGAAGGAAGGGTAAGTCTTACTTGTGCAAACAGGACACTGCAATTAGATGCCACCCTTAGTTCAGAAAGATGTTAGGTTTAATTTCAGTGACTTAAAAATCTCGCTATCTGTCTCTTTTGCATCGCTTAAAAGTAACAAATAAACTGCTAATGGTTAGAACAGTAACAAATAACAAATAACAAAAGTAACAAATAAACTGCTAATGGTTACTTTTAAGTTGCTTAAAAGTAACAAATAAACTGCTAATGGTTAGAACAGAACTGAAGTTTTGTGGAAATAATTTCCCTAGGTAGCTAGTATTAATTCTGCAGTAAGAAAATGTAAGAGGCATCTTGGACTTAATATAAATGCAAAGATAAGAGGATCAGAAATATCACTATAAAGGTCAAAGGACAAGTTGCAATGGTTGACATAGTGTATAATTTATTTCCTTGTTGGTTTTATATATTTCTGCCTTTTCTTTTAATTATGTTTAATTCTTTTTAAATAATGTAAATACCAAATTTTAAAAACAAATTGACTTAAGTCACAATTTCAATTTCAGACGTGGCTGGAATACCCATACCAAAAAATCTCAGTGGATATTCACTGATGCCCCTGGTATTGAAACAGGCAGAAGATAAAGTCCCAACTAGAAAGCAACATCCTACTTGGATTCTGAGTGAATTCCATGGCTGCAATGTGAATTCTTCGACCTACATGCTGAGAACTGACAAATGGAAATACATAGCATACTCAGATGGTCGTTCAGTATCTCCTCAGCTGTTTGGTACGTTTGCTACTTGATTAATGTACAGTCTGATCCTCTGTTCTGGTCCACACGAGTATCATAAGGTAAAGGTAAAGGGACCCCTGACCATTAGGTCCAGTAGTGGCCGACTCTGGGGTTGCGGCGCTTATCTCGCTTTATTGGCCGAGGGAGCCAGCGTACAGCTTCCGGGTCATGGGGCCAGCATGACTAAGCTGCTTCTGGCGAACCAGAGCAGCGCACAGAAACGCCGTTTCCCTTCCCACCGGAGCGGTACCTATTTATCTACTTGCACTGCTAGGTTGGCAGGAGCAGGGACCGAGCAATGGGAGCTCACCCCATCGCGGGGATTCGAACCGCCGACCTTCTGATCAGCAAGTCCTAGGCTCTGTGGTTTAACCCACAGCGCCACACACGAGTATCTCATAGGGAGGCACAAATCAAACTATGTAGCTCCTGTCTTGAAGCAACACAAACTACCAGACATATGATTAATTGTTGCTGCATCATGTCTTGTGTGGTTCACCAGAAGAGCAGAGAAGCAGTGTAGTAAAGTAGTAGTGATAGTAATTAGCATCCCATTCTTCATAAGGATCAGCACCCTCCTTTGCAACAAAGCAAGTTTGTACAAACAAAATATGTCAGTTAAATCAAAACACAGTTCTGCAGTCAATGCACTGCACTGTTGGAAACAGCAAAAGTGCAGTCTGAAGACACTAGAATCACTGGCCAAAGTCTGAGACAGGTAGGACAGTTGTCTCTTTAATGTCTCAACTGTGCATAGCCCAGTCTGCTTAAACCCATAAACCTGGGTTTGAATTTGACCACTGCACTACGGTTTCATCGTCTCAAATTGGACAATGTGGTCAGATGACTAGGCACCAAAGAGGTTAAGGTCCAAAAAGGTGGCATGCTGTAGTCTAGGCCTGGGTACATTACCAAAATCATCAAGGGAGCAACTCACCTATGAGAAGTAATGACATTTGAGGGTTTTCGGGGTTTGTTTGTTAAAGGTGAGTAAAGTGGCACACGAGAGAGGTATATAAAAGCATGCATGGTGTTGAGAAAGTGGAAGACATTTTTCTTCCTCTCATAAAACTAGAATTTGGGACCATCCAATAAAGTTGAATGGTGAGAGTTTCGAGGGGAGGGAAAGGAGTATTTTTCCACGCAGCGCATAGTTAATGGAATTTGTTACTGTGAGGTGTAGTGATGGCTGCCAACTCAGGTGGCTTGAAAGGGGGATTTCAAGGAAGTTGGAGCTATGTACCACCTCCAGTATCTAACACAGTATGGTCCTTCAGATGAAAGTTTCCCTTCTCCTGCTCTGTACAGGCTGGCAGGGGGCTTTCTTAGCCCAGCCTACACTAGGGTGATGTAGCTGTTAGAGTGTTGGACTAAGATGTGGGAAACCAGGGTTCAAATCCCTTCTCAGGTAGGAATCTTGCTGGGTGACCTTGGGCCAGGCACCATCTCTTAACCTCACCTACTTCACAGCTTTGTTGTGAGGATAATATGGAGATGGGAGAGCCATGTACACCACCTTGAGCTCCTTAGAAGAAAGCTGAGATATAAAAGCAAAATAATAATAATAAAATGAATACTGGGGATTGAAATTGGGAGACCTTCTGCACACCAAACAAATGCTCCAGTGCTGCGCTACTGCTTTTTTCAAGTTCAGGCTCATTAATTTGCCTTAATTGTTCTTTGTTGCAGATCTCTCTGCCGATCCAGATGAACTAACAAACATAGCAACCAAGTTTCCAGAGATCACACAGTATTTGAACAAAAAACTCTACTCCATTGTTGATTATCCCAAAGTCTCTGCCTCTGTTGAACAGTACAACAAACAGGAGTTTATCAACTGGAAACAAAGTTTAGGACAAAACTATTCTGATACCTTAGCTAACCTCAGGTGGCACCAGAACTGGAAGAAGGACCCAAAGAAGTACGAGGATGCAATTGATAGATGGATTAAAGAGAAGACAAATCTGTGAAATGTCTGCAGAAAGTGAGAATGGACAATCTGCTCCTGAATGTAAAGAGGCAGTGCGGGTGCAATAAGCAGTTACCTCTTACTGCAACAGATACTGAAATGGGACGTGGGGTCAGATGCTATCCTCCAGTCCCTCCCATTTCCCAACACAAAGCTACTCTGCTAAGCTATAAATACTAGCTAGCCCCAGTTGCCTGTTAAACAGGATTTGCTAGCCAGCTTCAGAACCTGATTTCAACTCTGGTTAAGAATCCCTGCTAAGTGACCTGTGATTAACGTGGATGTTGATATAATGGCTTTATTGGGTCATAATGCTAAATTATGGTTGTTAGCGTGAGCCTTGTCTGCACTTCCCATCTCCCTTCTCCTCTGGCACAGCCACAAAGGGGATATCAAAATCTTTTCCTTCCATTTTTAACCAGAGTTTACCATTATGTTCAAACCTCAGCAAACCGTGCTTAGTCTCGACTATGGTTCAGAGAAACCAACCAACTTCAAGCTGCATTTTGTGACTGTGATGTCACACTGGGCCCTGCCAAGACTTGGAAACGTATTCTGCCAGCAAAGCCCTTGAGCAAAGGATACCCTAGGGGATAGATGGAAACCGCCACCCCTCCATCATCTCTAGCACTGATAAGAAGCCCTTAACATCCAGGGAAAATCTCACCATGCCTGTGTCCAGAGGTTGCTCTAGAAGGACTCTTGAGGTGGGTTCCCAACTCATCCCCCTTTCAGAGGGGGAGACCGAACAATCTCCCAGCCCCGGAGAGCATAGAGCCCAGAAAGTCCAGGTTTGGGCATCTACCTACCAAAACAGTACAAGTCTGATAGTCCAAAATTATAGAGCTACTCATAGTAAGGGGTCTTGGGTGAAGTGTGGGAGACCAGACTATAGAAGCTGCTGGAACAGCACATACTGAAATCTAGCAACTCTTTTGAACCACCTTGTCTATTCTGCCCTGCCTTTTGACCGATGGCCTCTGTTGCTGGCTTCTACTTAGATCCTGCCTTTAGAGCTAGGCTTGTTGATGGACTGCTTTTATTGTGCTTTGACATGGACTGCACCTTGACTTCAGTCTGCTTTTCACCTAGTTGCAGGAGCAGACAGGGCTACGCCAGCCTCTGCCTAAGAACTCAGCCCTGACATGGTTGGAGCAGGACAATTTGCTTGTTTCCTTTGCTTGCTTAACCTTTGTTAAGATTATTCCGAGTTTTAGGTTTGGACAAAGCAATAAAAAGCAGTCAACTGAAAAAAGAAACAAAAGCTGCTTATTACATCTGCACTAGCCCCAAGACTATACTTTTTCAGGTGGGAAAGTATATACTGTAGTGGCTAGGACTTAGCTGTGAATTAGGAATTCTCAGGTTTCAATCTTGTCACTGCCATGAACTCACTAGGTGCCTTAGGCAAGCCACTCTTTCTCCGCTGTTGCCTGCAGTATGGGGAATAATCGGTGGCTTGCCATAAAGTGTTGTAAGGATATGTATTAGATGCATGTAAAACACTCTGAAAGCACTATAAGAATTTGTATTACTATACTTGGAATAGCAAGTATAGTATTTGCAGTGCCCTAACTGGAGTGGCTAACCTTTGGGCTTCCATGTTATTGAAAACCACATCCCATCAGCCCCAGTCCATATGGTTCATAGTCAGGGATGATGGGAATTGGAGTCCAACAGCAATCACAGGGTACTTTGCAAGCTACTGTATTCCTGCCCTAGTTAAAGTATTCATTTTATGAGTGTGTTCTAACTGGATTTTTCTTGGTCAGAACACAACATTTCAAAGTGCAGTATTAAGAGTTTAGGGCTGAACAAGGGCAAGCACATCTGTTCAGGCTCCCTCTAGGTGATCCATTTGCATTCATCCTGATTTGTTTGCACAAAGCTTATAAGAAGGTTAGATTATACCTAGTCTTTACTGAGCATTCATCCTCCATTTTGCTTGTGGTTATGTTTACATGGAATCATTTGTTCACCCTCCACTTTTCGGTGCATTTTTCTGTCACTTTCAAAACCACAAAGAGTCTTGAGTTTTTTAAAAAGTGGATTTGTTGCACAAGAGCAACATAACCCTTTAACCCACCTTGAATGTAGAAACCTGAAGTTCTGGAATGCATTTGAATTCCTCCCACAAAACAGCGAGTCTGGCAATGCCCTCAGTTACTACTGAACACAAAAGAGATACATGCAATTTTAGGTCCCCACCATACTGATGCCATTTGTGACTAATGATTGTGTGATACGGTCCTGAATTCCTTTGGGTTAGTGGCGCTGTGGGTAAAACCTCAGCGCCTAGGACTTGCCGATCGCATGGTCGGCGGTTCGAATCCCCACGGCGGGGTGCACTCCCATCGTTCGGTCCCAGCGCCTGCCAACCTAGCAGTTCGAAAGCACCTCCGGGTGCAAGTAGATAAATAGGGACCGCTTACCAGCGGGAAGGTAAAGGCGTTCCGTGTGCTGCACTGGCTCGCCAGATGCAGCTTGTCACGCTGGCCACGTGACCCGGAAGTGTCTGCGGACAGCGCTGGCTCCCGGCCTATAGAGTGAGATGAGCGCACAACCCTAGAGTCTGGCAAGACTGGCCCGTATGGGCAGGGGTACCTTTACCTTTACCTAATGGTTTGTGCAGCAATTTACAAGTGGGTTTTTTTAAACAACCCCCCCCCCAATGAAGTTAGTAGTATGGTAGTGGTTGACATTGTGCGGGGTAATGCTAGATTCATCTACACTTCCTTCTTATTCTTCTAAGGGCTTGCAGCTATTAAAAACCGCTGTTTTCTTTTACTGTATTGCATAAACCTTTTAAGTACTGTATTGTTTAACCTTCATGCAACACACTCCAGATACTTGCCTGGGTATACCAACACGGCTTGCATTTGTAGTTTAAGTGTGAGCAGCATATGTTGTTTCATTTGGTCTAAATATCCAAGAGATTTGCATGCAGATTTTTGCTACTCAGATATGTTAAATCTCCCTAGCAACCGTTGTCCTTTCCATTACTTACACACACACACACACACACACACACACACACACAGCTATAGTACCCTTTCCTTCAAGGAAATGCAAGGGCAAAGAATAAGAAGAAACTCAGAATAATCTGGATCTTCTCTCTAGTGCAGTGGGAAAAACTAGTTTCTTTCCCTGCCCCCACCAAACCCCCATGTATTGGAACTGAGAAGTTTAAAACGAAGAAAGGTGGTATTTGTGTATGCAAATCTCATCATATTTGCCTCAAATGCTGAACATGAGTGGTCCCATGCCTATCAGTTTGCAAGCAAAAAGGAGCCATCCAAAAACAAGGTAGTGGGGGTTTTTATATATATACTTTGGGAACTTGCCAGGCAAGCAGAAGTCTTTTAGTTTGTACATTAAAATTAGATTAAACAAAATATCCTGCTATGAACCTGTGCTCAATAGCCTCCAAGACCTACATTTGGAGGCAGAGGTTGATCTGGAAGCTGCAGGAGGAGCTGGAGCATAAACAGTGGCCAGTCTCATGACTGGAGCAGCCTAGCATCAGCATGTAACACCCTTGCTGTAAGAAGTTTATTGGCTGCCTGTATGCTACACATTTGAGATTGCCTTATGAAATTAAAAACAACAGCCCCAAACTCCTCTCCCAGCATTAAATGGTTTCAGCAGGAATCCTAGAATTGCAGAGTTGGGGGGGGGGGCTCTGAAGGAAAAGGAAAAACAAGTTTTGCCTTCTCCTGCTCCAGAAATATACCCCCATTACTCTCAGAAAATGCTTGCATTTGAGGCTAACATTCCCCTGCAAACTGCAGACAGCACCACCAGCTCCTGTTGCAGATGGCTTGGAAATCCTGAACAACAGAACTTCTGTCATGGGTTAATGATGAAGTGCCCCTTTTTGGTGTGCTCCTACTTGTTAATCTTTTGTTACACGAGCTACACAACATCTTTGTGTTTTCCCCCAAATGAAAGCTAGTGGGATACTGAGCTATTACTGCTTTAAACAATGCTGTTAGGATAGGATGCTGGAATTCATTTCAGCATTAATAAACAGCTTGGGCTGTGTTCAGACAAGAACTTGTTACATTTCATTTTATTTCACTCCCTCTATTCTATTACAGTTTGCTTACATGTATCCTGTGCATACATCCTTGCTTGTCCTGGAATTGTTGGGTTCATTATTTGTTTATAAATGCTAATTTCCTTAATTGAACCCATGCACACCCAAATATCATTTTATATAGTGTGCAAGGGACCAACTGCACGAAAGCATCAACCTTTTCACTGAGAAACAGACTTTTTATGTGAAAAGGGAGTGGAGTACCCAGAACATAGACATATTATCAACTCCTTGTGCTATTTTCTAGAGTAAATTGTGCAAAAAAAAATAAAAAAATAAAAATCCACCTGCTGGAATGAACTCTACTATTATGTGAGAAAAGAGAACAGAATATTAACTATCAAAGGTGAAAGTAATTATACTCCTTTAGAAACTACTGCAATTGAAAGAAAAATTGTTTCTTGCATTTAATGTTTTTGTGGTGTTTGGATTGTTTGAAGTTATGGAAAGGAACGCAATAAAAAAATTTATTAAAAAAAAAAAGAAACTACTGCAATTGTAGATTATCAGTCAGGGGTACTTATATATGACATTTATTCACACCTGTTACAAGACCACATATTTTTGCATACTTGCCACTAATGCCCACTTAGAAAGGAACTACATTTGCATAAAGCATTCTTAAAAGCCTTTCAGTTTTGCAAGTTACATTTTGTACCTGCTGATTTTTCTCAACCTCTGCCCACAGGTCACTGGCAGCTTTCATTACAGCTTATATGCTAATTAGACCAATTGTACTGAACAGAGACAATTATCATATGTTTCATAGTCAAAATGTCTAATATTAAGTTCACTTGCACTGATTGTGTGGAAGATGACAAAATTAAGAAAGGCAGTATATACGGTCAGTTTGCATAGCAAAAGCAGTCCTTATTTTTGCCCCTTTCTCTTGAAAAGGGACAAAATTTGTGGCAATGGAATTTGAAAATAACACACCTGAAAATTGCTGTGATGGGTGAAAGCAACAGATTATGCAGAACCCCGTTGTTGACAAACCTAACAAAATGATTGTGCTAAAACCACATTGTGCAAGTCCCGTCATAAGTTATGGAGTGCAATGAATTGAACAAAACTTTAGGAAGTTTAAAACATTTGGCTGTTACTATGTCCAAGCTAAGCCCATTTACTTGGAAACAAGTCCCTACATTCCCAGCAAGGGCTTAAAATAGCAGCCAGATCTGAAATGGTCAAGTGGAATCTCCTGGCCCTTCTGGGTTTCCTTGATTTGAAAGAGGGTCATGGCTTCATAATCGATTAAACTAACCAAGGGTCACAAGGGCTCCAGATTCACAGCCAAATTTCAGCAATGGGTCAGCGCTGTGAAGTGTGAAGTATTAATTAAGGTTCTTGAGCAAGTGCAGAGTGCGTTTTCCACACTGGAGTAGGCAGTAGCCCTCAGACTTCCGGTGTTAAGATGGGAGTCTCCCAGATTTGAGCAAGTGAGCAGCCCACAGGAAAAGAGCACCTAGTGTGCTTGAGGTGGGTGTTATAATAATTTGTTAGTTCTCTTTTGCCTTTTTGTCTTCCTCCTTGGGTACTTCCCAGGCCAGATATGGCAAATCGGCTGCTGAGATTGCGATAACAGAGGTCGTGGAGTGTGTAGGTGTTAAACGTCGGATTTCCCCAGGAATATCCGGGTTAAATGAGTCAAAAATACTTGTTGACAATGTCCTGGGGATACTGCAAAAAAAGTTCGGTGCCTGCAATCACACAAGAAACTGTTTAGAAGCCGCTTTCGCAAGCGGCGGACAACGGCTTCTCACCCTCCTCGAGGTGGACGACCGTGGAGACGGTGGGCGGCTTGGTCTGGCAAGGGCACAGCCAGCGTCCAGGGCGCTCGGCAGCCGCTTGCGGCGGCGGCGGGCGATGTCGGTGGCGAGCCCGCCGTCGGGGCTGCCCGTCGGGGCAGCGGCACAGCCTGCGCTGGAGGCGCCGCGCCCACGGGCCGTGGCTGTGGAACAAGAGGCACACGTAGGGGTTGAGGGCGCTGTTGGTGGCCGCCATGATGCTCCCCAGGGCCGCCCGCGCTTCGTCGGCGCCCTCGGAGGAGGCGAAGGCCAAGGCGAGCTCCAGGAGAAAGCGCGGGAAGCCGCAGAGCGCGAACAGCGTGGCCAGCGCCAGCGTCAGCTGCACCGCCCGGGCCCGCGCGCGGGGCAGGCTCCGCGGCGCGGGCGGCGAGGGCAGCGCGCACTTGGCGACGGGCAGGAGCCGCAGCAAGAGCGGCGGAGGCGGGCGAGGAGCGGCGGAGGCGCCGGGAAGCTCCGCGCCGTAGTGGCGGCCGCTGCCCGCTGCCCCCCGCGACGGCTCGGCGTCGTCGTAGTCGTCCTTGGCGCCGGGTGCGCCGCCGAGCGCGCTGAGGATGCGGCCGCAGGTCCCGCCCAGCAGGCAGGCGGGCGCCACGAAGCCCGCGACGGCCCAGTACACGGCGTAGGTCTGGCCGTGCCAGCGGGGCCGCTGCGCGAAGATGCTGAGGCAACGGCCCCCGGCCTCGGGAGGCGCCAGCCGATAGACGAAGGCTTGCGGCAAGGCGAGCAGCAGCGCCAGCAGCCAGCCCAGCGCAGCCAAAGCGCCCCGGGCAGGCAGGAAAGAGAGCGGCGGGTGCGCGGGGCCCCTCACCATGTGGTGTCGCTCGATCGCGATCAGGACGAGCATGTGCGAGGGCGCCAGCAGCCCGGAGCCTTGCAGGAGCCACAGCAGGCGGCAAGTGGCGTCCCCTGCAGGCCACGCCGCTTGCCCCGGCTCCACGTCGGCCGGCGGAAGCTGGGAGAGCAGCACCAGCCCGCACCCGTAGAGGTCGGCGATGGCCAAGTGCGCCAGCAGGAAATCCATCTTGCGCCGCCGTCCGAAGCGGGCCCCGCAGCAACACCCTCCGCAGCGCAGCCGGTGCAAGAGCAAGCCGTTGCCCACCAGCGCCAGCAGCAGGATCGCGCCCGCCGACAGGGTCCGCGCGCTAGGCTGCCCCAGAGTAGCCCCGGGGGACGAAAGGTTCAAGTTCCACCCGGGAATCGCAATGCCGGATAAGTTGGGTCCGACGGCAAGGCTGTCCGGGTTGAACGTGTCTTCCATGGCAGCGAGGATTGTGCACGGGTGCCCTCGGCAGCATATATAGGGGCTCTGCCTGTCACCTGTCACTCACCGTGGGTGGGCGCAGCAGGCTGCAGCCATCGCGCCTGTGAGCTCTGCCCACTCCTCAGCCCATCTCGCCCTCCCCTCCAATTCAACGGTTGCAGTCGTCTTGAGCGGAGTCAGGGTCTCTTCACTGTCACATTTTCCACAGACGCCTCCCGAAAGCACACGCCTTTCGCAGCTAAATACCGGCGATCAATTCTCACTAAACGAAAAAGATCGGTTCCCCGCACCCCTGTGTAGCCGCTGCATCAATTCACTGTTGCTTTCCCAAAGGGGTTTATATCTAGCTTGAATGTGCTAGAAAACCTGTTGCAAGGAAAGCACAAACAAATCCTGCAGTATTAGAAAAGCCCAGAAGTCTTGCCACAGACGCCACCAAGAACAGGCTGCATATTCTTCATAACCTTATCAAAGCTAAAATTGTCTTGTGCCCCCTGCAGCAGTTTGATGTACAGAAATTGTTAAGCTTTTCACAGCATCAACACTTATCAGCTGATGTCTGCACATCAAGCTGATGTTATAGGCATAGCTATAGTGGGCAGTTAAATAGCTGACAACTGCAACTCACCGATGCAGATTAAACAGCTAGAAACTATTGCTCCTGATTTCCATACCACAGTGCCAGGCACTCCTGTCTTCCACTGCCTCCCGCAGTTTGGTCAAACTCATGTTCATAGCTTCGAGAACATTGTCCAACCATCTCGTCCTCCGTCATCCCCTTCTCCTTGTGTCCTCAATCTTTCCCAAGATCAGGGTCTTTTCCAGGGAGTCTTCTCTTCTCATGAGGTGGCCAAAGTATTGGAGCCTCAGCTTCAGGCTCTGTCTTTCCAGTGAGCACTCAGGGCTGATCTCCTTAAGAATGGGACTCAAGAGTCTCCTCCAGCACCATAATTCAAAAGCATCAATTCTTCGGCCTTCTTTATGGTCCAGCTCTCACTTCCATACATCACTACTGGGAAAACAATAGCTTTAACTATATGGACCTTTGTTGGCAAGGTGATGTCTCTGCTTTATAAGATGCTGTCTAGGTTTGTCATTGCTTTTCTCCCAAGAAGCAGGCGTCTTTTAATTTCGTGGCTACTGTCACCATCTGCAGTGCTCATGGAGCCCAAGAAAGTAAAATCTCTCACTGCCTCCATTTCTTCCCCTCCTATTTGCCAGGAGGTGATGGGACCAGTGGCCATGATCTTCATTTTTTTTTGATGTTGAGCTTCAAACCATATTTTGCGCTCTCCTCTTTCACCCTCATTAAAAGGTTCTTTAATTCCTCCTCACTTTCTGCCATCAATGTTGTGTCATCTGCATATCTGAGGTTGTTGATATTTCTTCTGGCAATTTTAATTCCGGCTTCGGATTCATCCAGCCCAGCCTTTCACATGATGAATTCTGCATATAAGTTAAATAAGCAGGGAGACAATATACAGCCTTGCCGCACTCCTTTCCCAATTTTGAACCAATCAGTTGTTCCATATCCAGTTCTAACTGTAGCTTCTGGTCCCACATAGAGATTTCTCAGGAGACAGATGATCAGGCACTCCCATTTCTTTAAGAACTTGCCATAGTTTGCTGTGGTCAACACAGTCAAAGGCTTTTGCATAGTCACGACCTGTCCATCTTGGGTGCCCTGCACGGCATAGTTCATAGCTTCTCTGAGTTATTCAAGCCCCTTCGCCACGGCAAGGCAGTGATCCATGAAGGGGCCCAAATTGGTAGAAAGGGGAAATCAGACCAGCAAAAGGTCTTCTCCATTCTTCCCTTGGAGAATAGGAACAAATGAAGTAACTAAGATGCAGACCCACAGCAGCACATTAACAGCTGACAAGTGTATTGAGGCATAGATATTTGTAAACTACAGCCCTCTTCATCAAACAGGAAATATGTTTTTTAAGGTGCTACCACCTTGCTCAGACTATGCAGGTCTGAGTCTGCTCAGTCCTGGATGCAAGACTGCCTGTGTATTCAGGCTTAAGTTCCATGGTGAAAGAAAGATAGGATATGAATGTGTTTTTTCTTGTGTAGCCAAACACAGTTACCTTCCCCCTGAATTAAAAAATAAATAAATCCTAAAGAACCAAAAAGAAGCCTCAATGATCAAGTGACTTTACAGAGGTCCTTGGGGAGAGTAGCTTGGGGGGACACAAAGAGGCTGATTGACTGTCATTATGTTATGTGGTATTTTTTTATTAATTAAAACAACCCATATACACATACACAGCTAAACTTGTTTACAAATCCTGTTCAACCAAAAGCGATTCTTTGCCATGGTAGTTTGGAAAGTTGTATCCTGTTGGAAGGCATATTTGTTATTGTGCTATGATTTACAATATATTTTTTTCCTGCATCTTTTCATTATAAAGAATTGCCGCAGAAAGGTTGGCCACAGATTAATACTGCATGAATGTACTTGTATTTTTATTGCAAAGGATAAATCTTTCTCCTACACCAAGGCATTTCTAATATGATTTCTACCAGATGGTACTTCTTTATAAGTACGCCCCCATCAGAAATGAATCAGAAATGGTAGAAAAGCATCCAAGGTTTTCATCTTCAAATAAAGAAAATAATCCAAAAATGAAGATTTAGAAATACTCCTTGTTGTTTAAACAACAACAAAAATGCTGCTTGTGTTATTTTAAAATTTGCTACTACTTTTTCTGTTCATTTTTTTATTGACTTTTTAATATTACTATTTCATTTTTGACCCTCAAAACACTGATATAGGTTGAGCCTGAAATCAGTGAAGCCGACTTGTAATCAGTGAGTTTGGATTGTAAGGCAAAAGTCTTGATTCCATCTGAACTCAATGGCTTCTAGCCATAATGGCTACTATAGTGCTGTGGAACCAGTGGCCCAGATGTTGAATGCAGTCCTTCAGACTTCTCTGCCCGATCCTATGGACCCTCCCCAGGCAACAACCCATGTCCTCAGGTCACATCCATCCCCACCAGCTGTGCTGTGTACCCTTGTCTAGTGCTTTGGGCATGTCTGAAACGTGTTCTTAAATTGTGACAATGGCTCTTGCTTGTCTGGATGGAAAGATATGTGCAGGTGTGTAGAAACATCTGGCTTTTATGTGGCCGCAGTGTAGACAACTGTGCAAAGTTAGAGTCACCTCTGTTGCTCTGCCCACTTTTGCCTCTGGCCCCAACCACCACATGATTGCAGAGGAGGGGATGCAACCCCTCTTCTACCCACTCCTCCACCTATGGGCGTAGCCAGGATATATGTTGGGGGGGGCAGGACACTCACCTGTCAGCATCCTCTGTCTAGCGCTGTCCCGCAGTCGGGTTGCCAGTTGCGTTGCTAGAATGCACCACAGCATCATCCAAGTGACCTCAGTGAGCATTTCAATTTCAAACATTCTAATTATTTCCACTTGATTGTTTGTTTGGGGGAGCTGTTGTTCCCTGTCCCTGGCTATGCCCATGCCCTCCATCCTTTCTGCTGCTCCTCAAGTGTGATCAAGGCTGGGTTTAGGTTTGATGGGACCTTAAGCTGCTGAAGGTAATGGGACCCTTTATATGTCCAGCTGTCCTTTGTCAACAACAAATTGTCACTGTTTTTTGTGTTGTATATATGCTATATGGTAATTTATGTAGGTTTTATTTTATTTTTTATCTGATATTTCGGAAATGTACATCCAGTTTTTCCCCCTTTACATTTTTTGGGGGGCCCCGAGGGAGTGGGGCCCTAAGCTATAGCTTGTTTAGCTTATACGTAAATCCAGCACTGAGTGTGATGAAGAGTTCTGGAGTACTTCTAAAGTTTGCTTAGGACCTCGTTGCACTCTCTCTCTCTGTGTGTGTGTGTACGTACAGGTGGCCTAATGATTGCATTACCATATGGTGTCTCTTTATTATTTCCCCCCAACGCTTTTCTGGCTTTCCTAACAGCGCAGCCCTTCAGAAGCCCCTCAGAAGCACGTTCCGCTCAGTGGGAATGGACTGCTCTCTCCTCCAGCGTGAATTTAGGGCTGCGTTCTAGATCTAGGAAAGGTGCAGCAGCCGCTAGCACGTGACACATCGCCGTCCAATAGCGTTTCTCTCTTCGCGTTTTAATGGCGTGACGCCGCGGAGAAGCAAAAACGGTTCCTCAGCGATTTGCGGTGGCGCCTCAACTCGTGGGTCTCGCCCTCCGGTTGCTACTGCGGCGTTAGGCCACGTTAAGCAGGTTTGTAGACGTCAAGAAGCCACTTCCCTTCCCCCTCCCTCTTAAGCCCACATAACACGCGCGAGAGGAAGGGAGGCGGGGGGAAGGGGGTGACAGCGCAAGGACCTTCGGGAGTTGTAGTCTCAGGGAGCGCGGTGGCTGCTGGGTATTGCAGTCTGAGCTTGGAGATAAAGCTCGTGCACATGCGTGTTGCCTACTAGACAAGGCCACGCTGCTTGAAGACTTTTTGTGTCGATCGCCGCCTAGCGGTTGTTGTTATCAGTGTTATATTGTCTTTAATTGCCAACGTTTTTCTGAGCTTTGAGGCCAAATTGGGTACGGAGGGAGGAGAATGCCTGGCTCCGAAGCTGTAAATGGAAGTATAAATGGAAATAAATCACTCCGTGGCGTGTGGATCCGCCGCACGCCTTTCAAATAATGTATTTGTGTAACTCCCGTTTACACACGCGCTACATCTTGCAGTCGTTATATTCTTTGGAAAGGGATACCTATTCAAAGAAGCAGGGATACTTTAAACAGTGCATTTAACCTGGTAGATTTCTGCAGTTTGATTGTTAAGAGTGCTGTGTAGCATGGGTGAAATTTTATATTTACATTTGCCGTGAGGAGCTAAACTAAATCGATAAGGGTCTCAGGTTTCTCTGCTCATGTTTCAAAAAATGGGCATTCCCTATGAGCTACTCCTGTTAGACACTTGTAATTTACAGTACAGCGAAGTTGTGGCTCAGTTATAGCTATATAACCACTCAGCCAATTACTCTAAAAATGTACTGCAAAAACAGCAGGAGGCAGTGAATCCTCTGTCATAATGCCCATTAATTCCAGTGGTCTACTCTGAGTAACACAGGATACAAATGACCGTGAGTATGACTCGCATAGGATATCATAGAGCCCCATCCAGGCTGTACTTCATGAATGCTGTTAGCTGCCCACAGCTGTCTGCTTGTAGTAAAGCTGCCAGAAAGAAGGGGAAGTGATTAAATTAGAAGGACAGCTCCTCACCCCAAAACAGCACACACAGGAGTGGGCGAAGATGATCTAATGAGAGACTGGATTATGGCCATGATATATTTTTCTAAGTTACTTGACTTGACTTTTTAAAAATAATAATTGTGCCCATTATATTATTATAGCTCAGTTGGTAGAGCATTTGACTCCTAATCTTAGGGTCTTGGGTTTGAGTCTCATGTTTGGCAAAAGATTCCTGCATTGCAGGGGGTAGATGACCTCCCGATTCTACAATTCTGTGATTATCATAATGTATGTTTTAAGCTTTATATGATTTCAGTGGCAACTTAATACTCCTCCCCACTTCCTATCTTATTCCATAGATTTCTCGAAAGCTTTATAAATTCGGAAGGATTCTTGTGTGTTTCACATTATATAAATCCCACATGTGGTGTTTTTCTCTTTTTTACATTTTAATAAGTATGTAATAAACCACACTTGCATGACTTTTGGCTTCTAAGCCATCTGGCTTATTTTAAGTTAAAGTTAGATATTAGGCAGAGGACAACTTTAAAAAATGTGCATACAAATAAAAGAAGATGTGCAAGTGAGAAGAACCCATTTTCTTTCAGGTGGTTGCCCCAGAGAGGGGGTAAGATCTAGTTATTAACATACAGTAAGGATTGTCATTGCATCACAGTGGAGTTGGCAACTTCAACCGCTACTAGGTGGTTCTCTCCCCTCCCCCTTCACATTTCTGTATTCTGAACACAATGCTTCTATGGATGCTGTGCCAGTATGTTTACTTCCAGGCAGTTCTTTCCTTGTTCATCACAAATCTCAGAGTGTTCCCAGCTAAGAGTCTGCTTGGCAGTAAGAAGGGTGAGTCACAGGAAGAATGAAAGCTGGGAAACACAAGTTAATCGAATTTGCTATAGACATCGGCGAGTGTCCACAGCTGGCCTTCTCCCATTGCAGCTGAAATCCTTTTACACTCTCTCCGTACTGAGAGTTTTTATGGCCAATTTACACAGACCCTGCTCCGAGTTACACACCTGTATGAGCAATCAGATTCCACTTGCTTGTGGCTGAATAGGGATTGTATTGGTGTGCTGGGAACTGCATAGATTAAATATTTCAAAGCTTCTGTGATAGCACAAAGCCCATTCATCTCACTGGGATTATGTCTGCAAAAGCTGTGGGGTTCTGATGTTGGTTGGGTCAGTATTGTTTCACTGGAATGAGTGGAGGCCTTTTGGAGCCTGATCCTATATATGCATGTTTGTCTGAGAGTGAGTTCTCAAACAAAGTTCAGTTGTACTGTTTATACACCACTTTGACTTGTACAAGACTGGCACACTTGTCTAGTGTTGGATTTATAGTTGGCCTCTATTCATTGTTAGGGATGCGGGTGGCTCTGTGGGTTAAACCACAGAGCCTAGGACTTGCCAATCAGAAGGTTGGCAGTTCGAATCCCCACGACCGGGTGAGCTCCCGTTACTCGGTCCCTCCTCCTGCCAACCTAGCAGTTCGAAAGCACGTCAAAGTGCAAGTAGATAAATAGGTACCGCTCCGGCGGGAAGGTAAACGGCATTTCCATGCGCTGCTCTGGTTTACCAGAAGCGGCTTAGTCATGCTGGCCACATGACCCGGAAGCTGTACGCCGGCTCCCTCGGCCTGTAAAGCGAGATGAACGCCGCAACCCCAGAGTCAGTCACGACTGGAGCTAATGGTCAGGGATCCCTTTACCTTTACCTATTCATTGTTACTAATGAATTTAGGAAACAGGATGTTTTATCAGAAAATAAAGCACGGAGGTGGGAGGGTGGAAATTCACCCTTGATCATGGGCAACAGTAGCTGCTCGAGTGGCTGGGGAAAACCAGTCAGGTGGGCAGGGTACAAATAAATAATTCTTATTTGGGATGGCAGTCCCACTTGTGTTTCACAAGCTGGTCTCCAACTGTAATAATAAATTGTTGTTGTTGTTGTTAAGCCTGAGACATGAGTAATATTTTCATCATTGCGATCCAGCGTTCCTGGAGGAGGCTGGTTTAGGGCTACTTCTTTATTTTAAAAACCATGTTTTTATTTATTTTTCATGGTACAGAAGGTATATGTTGTTACGACAGTAAACAACAAACAACTTGTCATGATAAAATTGCAGACTTTGGTCATGCTCCGTAATAAAGTTTCATTTGATTACAGTACTCTAAAATATCTAGTTGCTTTAGGTTAGGGGTTACTTTTAAGGTGAACAAGTGATTATCTAAAACGTCCTTATCAATTCAGTGCAGCCTGGTTCTTAACTTTCCTATCTGCTCAGGCAGGATGCATCTTCTCCTAAGTCACGTCACTGTGTGAAGGCTCTACGAAAACATCTTTCCCAGTAAAGAACTTCTCTGTATAAAGGCATACGTGGTGGATATGACCTTTGGAAGCTGATGATTCAGAACTTTCACCCACCTCTTACAATCTTCCTTCTATATTTCTGTGATAATACAACTTCTGTGTCATTTGCCATACTACTGCCTTAGAGGATCACCATTCAGATTTCCCTGGGAATGTGAATCTGCCACTTTCCACACAGGTACCATTCTTAACAATAGTTTTTAAATGCAGTGCCACTGACTTTTCATTTAAAGGTATTTCTGATTGTGAAATATAATTAAAGTAGATTCAGAAAGTATCTTGTTTTCTCTCTTTCATATGTATTATTTTGTACTATTTTGTACAACGTCTTCCATTGCGAAAGTTTAAGATATTGCCTGTAATTATATGTATTCTTTCATCTTGTGCTGCTAAGTATTTCCTTTTATCTTATTCTACAATTCTATGCATGCCTAATGCAGTGAATTCACATTGAACTCACTGGGGCTCATTTAGTGTTGGTTTGTAAGCTGGAAAGTATTATAAGCTAAGACCGAAGACAAGACACAGTGACTGCAGATCTGACAGTTATGCAATTTACTCCGCTGTCTCTTAGATTGCAGCTTTAAGCACTCAGAAAATCATTAAACACTTTATCTGTTCTGGCTCTCAAAACACATTTTTGTGCAATATGTTTTTTAAAAAAACACCTCAAGAACTGTGTATTATACAACAAAATTAACAGCTGTCACTGATGGCAAAATGAATGTGATTTTTTTCCTCCAGTTCAGGTTGTCCTATATGCTTTATATCTTAGTTTTTGGCTGCCACTGCATCCTCAGAAGAACTTGTGACAAGTTGTAAAATCAAGGTTTTTGCATACCTTTGAACAAATAATACCCTGTTGTCACAGAATGAAAATGGACAGCATTTCAGAAAAGAAAAGAAAAATGTTCATACACACAAAACCTCCACCCTTTACTTTAGCTTTTGATTAACATTCTGCTATTGCTGTGGAAAGTTGTTGCTATGTTGCTGCCATGAACAAGGGTTACTTGTTTCAATATACTGGCCATCAGATGAGGACTTTTAAAGAGTTGATCCTTGTGACGCTGTCCTTATGGGATAAGCCATTTGCATTCAACAGCTTGCCACATAGATCAGATAACCTTTAAAATTTTCACACCACCATACGTGGATAAAAGATAGGGTGAAAATCGTCCAGTTCACAGAATGGATCGCCACACACATGAATGGATGAATTCCTCTTTTTCAAATACGTAGTCTACAGTAAATTTCAGAAAGGTTTTCAAATGCCGAACAGGATGTACTACTCCTGTTTTATTTTTATTCACCCTTTCCATATCATGCTTGAAATAGGAGGATACCATTTGATCCACGTAAAATAAATACAGTGGTACCTCGGTTTAAGAACAGCCCTGTTTACGAACTATTCCGTTTACGAACTCCACAAAACCGGAAGTAGTGTCCCAGTTTGCAAACTTTACCTTGGTCTAAGAATGGAAGCCGAACGGTGGAAGGGCACTGGCAGCCAGAGATCTCACTAGGGAAAGCACGCCTCGGTTTAAGAACGGTTTTGGTTTAAGAACAGACTTCTGGAACGGATTAAGTTTGTAAACTGAGGTCCCACTGTATATCGTTTGTTTGCAGTGAAAGTTCTTTGTGCACCAGCCTACTGTTCAGCTATAAATGGTTGTGATTTTCTTTCCTCAACATGGTTATTTCTGACAGTCATATTAAGTAATATAGTGCATTTTCTCTTGCTTTTAGAATATGAATGAGGACAGCTCTGTTGAAACGTCTAAAAAGAAGGAAGACAGAAGTCCAGTTTGTGTTGGCAGAGAAGATGATATTAAAAAACTACGGAGGACAACAGTGGTCATCCATGACAGAGAAGTTGTTGTTTTCTATCACGATGGAAGGTTTTACGCCCTGGATTGCCGCTGTTACCGTAAGAATTTTTCCGAAGATAGTGTTTTTGGAACAACTTTAAAAGTTAGCTAGTTTGAGCCTCTGCTCTAATTTTGCATTCTGTTCTTTTAACAGATACAGGAGGTCCCTTACATGAAGGAGATATAGAGGTATGCAAATACAGTACTTCCTCATTCAGAACCTTCTGATAAATAAGAATGCTATTAACATAATGCGACAGTAATGCAGTACTACTGTGCATATACAGGGTGAGTCTTTTAAAAGAGGCCCCATGTAACATGTGTACAGTGGTACCTCAGGTTACATACGCTTCATGTTACATACGCTTCAGGTTACAGACTCCGCTAACCCAGAAATAGTACCTCGGGTTAAGAACTTTGCTTCAGGATGAGAACAGAAATCATGCTTCGGCAGCGCAGTGGCAGAGGTCTAACAATAGACCTCCAAAACAAATTAAGTTCTTAACCAGAGGTACTACTGTACAGGCCTCTCTATCCTCACTTCAGCACTGCCAACTGAAAAAAAGAGTGATACTGCTTTTTTATTTAGGGAGTGATAGTTCTGAATTTTAAAAGGCACGTCCAAGAAACAAAAGTGACATCTGAGGGTCAGGGGTGCCTTTACATTTATTGGGTACAAGGGAGCATTATTCTTCATTTTCTTTATCTATTGCCAAAAGTAGTGTTTGGATGCTTCCTCTGCTTGGTGATTCCTTAATAGTCAACTCTGAAGATACCTGGTGTGTGGAGGAAGTTGCAGAGCCGTTTGCCATTTCCTTGACTCTGGGAAATCCATCTGCATCGAGACCATCGCTGCTGCTTTCCCTGGAGCTCTTTTTTGTTTCAGTTATGCTTTTAATTCTTCCCAGTGCTTTATTAATGGAGACTGCCTGTATACACATAAGAGGTACATTATTTAGCATAAAGAAATGGAAAGGTTTGGAATCCTCTGCATTTCTGCCTAACTTTAAGAGATACAGTTTTGCAGTATAGCCGTACTTGGTTAGGATGCATTACTTGTATCAATACAGTCGTACCTTGGTTCGTGAACGCCTTGCGAGTCGAATGTTTTGGCACCCAAACAACGCAAACCTGGGAGTGAGTGTTCCAGTTTGCGAACGTTCTTTAGAACCCGAACATCCGACGCGGCTTCTGATTGGCTGCAGAAGCTTCCTACAGCCAATCGGAAACCGCGCCCTGGTTTCCGAATGTTTTGGAAGTCGAACAGGCTTCCGGAACGGATTCCATTTGACTTCCAAGGTACCACTGTATATCAAATGCCTGGGGGAAAGGATAGAATCATGATGGGGATGAGGTGAGCAGATCACACTTTGAAAATTTCCAGACTGGTTTCAGTCTAAAATGCTGTATGTGTGTGTGTGTGTTGTCCTACCCCTTGAACCATCCCATCAAGGAATGCTGCATGCGGCCAACACTTGTTCTCATGAACACTTTTAATAAATGCTGGCATATTGACAGTTGGATGATTATCCTCTTGAGGTTTAAGGATGAGTGACTCTTGATTCTGCTTTAGTGCCAGTGGCCGTTTCTGGACTGTCTTGAATAGCTGCCCTTTGCAACAGCCTAAATTACAGGTTACCCGTATATATGCCACTGTAGGTAGGCAGTGTTGGTCGAGGAAAGGTCACAGCTAGCAAGCCAGCTACAGCTGGGCATTGGTAATGTGCACTAAAAGGGTGCACAGTAATGGAAGAATAATGCATGGCTTCAATTCTTTGCTGAAGGGAAGGGGAAGCACGAAACAAGAAGGATCAGAAAGAACAGTATTTACGAACCTACCAGATAAATTAGTGCTGCATAAGAAATGCACATTACACCAGTGAGGGCGGTCTTCGTTGGATAGGAAAGGACATCATAAAGGAATATGGATTTTTCCTGTAGAAAAGAAGAGTTTGGACTTGATATCCTGCCTTTCACTCCCCTTAAGGAGTCTCAAAGTGGCTAACAATCTCCTTTCCCTTCATCCCCCACAACAAACATTCTGTGAGGTGAGTGAGGCTGAGAGACTTCAGAGAAGTATGACTAGCCCAAGGTCACCCAGCAGCTGCATGGGGAGGAGCGGGGAAACGAATCCAGTTCACAGATTACAAGACCACTGCTCTTAACCACTACACCAAGCTGGGATTCATAGTCAAGGGATTCTTCTGCCATATTGCAGTTTTGTATGCATGATCCTTTCAAAGTTTAGCACTTTTAAGTTCCTTTGGTTTGAACGGGAGAGTTAAGAACTTGCTTATATCTTCCTTATTTAAATCAATGGGACATAAAGCTCAACATGGATAACAATCTAATGTTCACATGCTAGACAGTTCCTAAATATTTCCATGCAGGATTCCTAATGTGGTTTATTAACTCTCTGTGCGCCCACGTACTATCACTGCTGCCCCAGACAAATTATTGGGAAGATCAGGTTTACAAATTGACAGGTCATTATGTAAATCCTAAACATATTTCATGGAAATAGTTCCCATTGATTTCAATAGAAGATAAGGCTACAAGCCTACGCATATTGACATGGGAGTAAACTTTTGAACTCGGTGGGACTTAGTTTCTAGCAAATATGCACAAAACACTAGTCTCTAATCCACAAGCCTGTACCACAATATATCTATTAGTCTGCCACAAGATTCCTTTTGTTTGTTTGTGCTGTAATATGCTATCACTGGAACATTGGAAGCTGCCATACTCAATCTTATCTCATATTGAATCCTTGTCTGCACAAGGAAGATCAAACTGTATGTGAATGTTTAAAAAAAAGGGGTCTTTGCACCTAACATTTTTAGAGCAAATAGCATCAGCTGATGGGGCTTATAATTATGAAAATCTCAAGATGGCATGGAGGAGGAAATTTTACCTTCTCATCCTCTGTTGTGGTGCTGAGGAAAATCCCTCACACACTCACTTAGAACTCAGAAAATATGAGATGGTTATGTTGAAATTCCTAATAAAGATATATTTTTTTTAAAAAGAAAAGAAAATATGAGATGGAGCAGTCACACCCATTGCCTACCTTCAATTTATAAAGAGGTTGTTTGGGAGCATTCAGTTTCTGCAAGAGACAATGTGATAGCCTATGCAGCCCTGCTAATTTTTGAATGAGGTGTGGCTGCACGAATTTAGCAATTGATTTTGAAGAGCGGGAGAGATGACCTAGCCCATGCCTAATCATTACCGCATGAGCGGAAGAGAACACTCTCGCCACAACAGACCTAGACCCCTGCACGGTGCGATTGCCGTCCTGAAATATAAGTCAATACAAGGAGGGAGAGAAAAAAATAGTCAAATTACGGTACTTTGTGGGGGCCTAGAACAGAGAAAGCCGGTTTGATGCATCAACTAGCTTCCTGCAATGTAGAAGGGAATGTGCTCTGCTACTAGCTCACTAGCATGAGTGAGGAAGGATAATATTTAATCAATATAGTCTCTCCTACTATCCTCAACATTCCCACACTGGGCCCTATTGCTGATGTAGTAATAGTTTGCCATTGGGGACAATGCATATATGAGGAGATCTGCAAACATCTGACCCTGGCATTCATTCATTTATTGTAGTAATATCTCACTTTTAATCCAAGGAGCTCAAGATGGCATAAATGGATCTCTCCCTCCCCACAACCCTGTGGGGGAGGTTAGGCTGAGAGACAGTGACTGGGCTGTCATCCAGTGACTTCATGGCTGAGTGGGAATTTGAACCCTGGTCCCTCCTAGTCCAACGTTCCAGCAAATGCACCAAGTTGACATGTATTTTAGACAATTATTCACAGAAACACCAGTAGGGGGGAAATTAGCATTACAACCCTTGGGCTCTTTACTAAAGAACATTGCATGCCATAGATCTTTAGACTGCTTTAGAAACATTAGTTTAACCTTGCTTACTTGGATAAGTTAGCCAAAACTCAATAGATGCACACACGGGTATGCTTATTTTGGGGATTTAGTAATAATATCGTTTTTATCATCATTGGATAAAAATAATACTAAAAATAATAATAATCTGTGGAGCAGCTTTCTGGAGGTATGCTATGCCAAAACTTGTGTCCCCTGAATATATTAATTATTTTTCTAACTTTGTGTATAAGTAAAACATTAAGCTGAAACTTTGCTGAGTTGGTAGCAAATGCAGTCTTTAACAGACTATTGTATAAATAAACTTAACTTTCAAATAATAGTGAAACAGTATTAGTATTAGCTCAGAAACATTACCTGGTTTGAGCTTGTCAGTCTCAGTAAATTGGGGAATTCATCCCTAATCTCATCTATAATTTCCAAGAAGAGTCTCTGTATTATCTGGGCTGAATTGAAAAACAGTAGTCAAAAAGAATAAAGCGCCTGTCTTCAAAATTATACTTATCGTGTAAGCATTGTTCAGACATGAAATATTCAGGTTGGAGCATCAGAACGAAGAACTATGGTTGCTGTCCAGCCAATTGCTGGCTGATCTAAATTAGCAGAATTCTGTTCTATTGAGCCTGAAACCAATATTGGGATCTGAAATGCCAGCCCACTTCACCTCCTGCATTTATTATGACTCGGGAATAAGCCGGTGAGCCCTGCTGCCTTCTGAAACTTCTGGATGGCAGAAGTGGATGGGAAGGAACAGGAACATATTCTATGAGTTTTCTCCAGTATTTAACCAGGCATATGATACAGGCACAGCACAGGTGCATGTGTATCTCAGGGTTGGGGAACCTTTTCCAGACTGAGGGCTGCCTTCCCTTCTGGCCAACGTTTCAAGGGCCACATGCTAGTGGTAGGTGGGACCCAAGGCATTCCCGCTAGGCAAAAACATGTATGTGTGGATTAGGGCTAGTGAGGGCCATGGCTGGTGCAGAAGGGGTGTGACCTGGGGGAAATTCCACAGGCCAGAGAGGCATTGAGGGCCATATTTGGCCCCCAGAAATGAGGTTCCCTACCCCTGGCTTATCTGGTAGAAACTGACTTAAAAAATAATAATCAAGTACCGAGGTGTAGAGAAGGCAGTGTTCCCAGAATCCAGGATTTGAGAACTCATTTCCATTCGGGGATTCAAGACTCAGACACAGAGTAGCTCATACCTTGTCCAGCAAATTTGTTGACCAGCTGTCCACATATCCAGCCAATTGGCCTGAAAGACATCCTGCATGCCCTGGTGTCTATCTACAGCTCCTGAATTTAGCCTAATCTGGTCTTCTGACATATATGTATGACAATATGCCATACATGTGTGCATCTCCACCTCCAAGGCAATAAACCTTTATGAGAACACAATGTGCCTCTTAAGCACAGTGCCTCCTTGACTCCTGACATCATGTGTACACAAGAAAATAGCCCCCCCCCCCAATCACTGTAGTCTCAACAGCCAGGGCTTTCAAATATGATCATTCCAAAATAACATAACGTAAAAACCGATGGCTTTCTTTTTACATCACAGAAACCACATTAACAAGTACAGTGGTATCTCGGGTTACGTACGCTTCAGGTTGCATACGCTTCAGGTTACAGACTCCACTAACCCAGAAATAGTGCTTCAGGTTAAGAACTTTGCTTCAGGATAAGAACAGAAATCGGGCTCCGGCGGCGCAGCGGCAGCAGGAGGCCCCATTAGCTAAAGTGGTGCTGCAGGTTAAGTACAATTTCAGGTTAAGAACGGACCTCTGGAACGAATTAAGTACTTAACCCGAGGTAGCACCATATTGTTTTCTTGAGTTTATTGTCCTTGATAGACTAGCATAAAAGCTGAAGAGCAAGGTGGAAAAAAGTGCTCTGGTTTCTGGGTTATACAGCACCTAACATTCTTAGAATTCTGTTTCAGAATGAATGAAAAGTTCCAAAGTCCTCTCCCTTGACTTTTAAAACAGAGTACAGTGAATGTTGGATAGAATGTGTGTGAGTTTTACTTTAAGAAAATTTAGTGGCCTACTCTGCCGTGGGTATATTAATATTACAATTTATTTTTCTGTTTATCAATTGTATGCTGTGGGATACTGATAATGCAGACTTATGCATATCTACTCAGCAAAGTTGGTTATATTTAGCTTAATAGAACTTAGAGGTATATATGTTTGTACTGTTACTGCACATAACCGCATATATTTTTTCTACAGTGACAAAAAAAGATTGGGTCGAAAGGCACTAATTATATATTTCGTTCCAATTCTTGCTAGGACATATTAGACAGGCAGTGCCCTCCTCACATGGCTGGTGAAATAAACTGTTATTACACCATTGCGTGGCAGGTTCCCGCCTCCCCCCATCATCTACATACCAATACCCATATCAATGCCTAACCGCCACTCGAGCAAACGCTCGCCACCAATACCCTCAAACCTCAAGGGAGAGGCTAGCAGCACTTAAGGAATTAATTCTGCAACTTCTGCCTCAAGAAGGTCACCCTTGGGCAGAGTCAATCACTCTTCGGTCACCTCAATTTTGCATGGCGGGTAGTGTCCGCTAGCCACCCCTTTTGTGGGTGATTGGCTAAGCTGTCAGTGGGACTGCGCCTCTCTAAAGTGGTCAAGTCAGACCTGGAGGTTTGGTTAAAGTTCCTGGATGAGTACAATGGCATTTCTTAGTGGCAGGACAATTTGATGCTGCGTTCAGACTTTCAGGTACAGTCTGACGCAGCTGGTTCCCTGGGGTTTGGTGTCTACTTTAGGGGGCACTGGTGTGCTCAGCGTTGGCCTACCAGCTGGCAAGGAAAAACGATCATGCGTGACCTCACCTTCTTAGAATTTTTCCTATCGTATTTGTGGTGCACTTGCGGGCTGACCATTTCAGGAATCACCAGGTATGCTTCTGGACTGACAATCAAGCGGTTGTCAGTGTCCTTTCAAAGCAATCATCGCACTCTCCTAGGGTGGCAAACCTGCTCTGGAACTTTGTCCTTTTGTGCTTGGAATTAAACATCTATTTCTCTGCCAAATTTACACCTTGGCTTAACAATGTTTTGTAGATGGAAGAGGGGAGGAAGCGCTATCACCCGCCCCGCATATGGAAGGGTAGTCTGATAAAGGATTCCGGGGGGCATGGCCCTATCCGAAGCCAATGGAGGTGAGGGCCTAAGGTACGCCCCCGAGCGGTGACCCCGGGGGAGTTCCTAGTTGATGTGCATCAGCAGGACTCCCCCTACTGGTGGTTAACCCTTCCTGGACTTCAAGCGGACGGGCTGAAGCCAGATAGTCTGTTAGGACCAATGCCTAAGCCAATACCGCTCATCACCTGTGACCAATAAAGTTGTGGCCATATTTAGCCCATTAACCTTAAATAGTTGTGTCATGTGTCTTTATTTCCACTGGCGGGGGGACGGGAACTCGCCACGCAATCTCAGAAGGGGGGGTGTCCTTAAGAGTGAACAGTACTAAAGTTATTTTCCAATGAACTTTAAGGGAGACTTTCCAGGAGTTTGCACTCTTGAGATTTCCACGTTTTGTGGAATCAATCAATCAATAGACTTTATTTGCATAGCCGACAGGCCATAGCATCGAAGGACAAACACCGACAAAAATACATTACAAATATAGATACCATAAAATCTTATGACCTATTAAGACCTTAGGTAGAAACTGGATTATCATTCAAGAAACTGGATTATCATTCAAACGTTTTGTGGAATTTCAGATATTTATTTATTTGTTTTATTTGTTACATTTATATGCTTTTTTAAAAAAAACAGGAACCTAGTACTCTTATTATAGTGGTATGAAGGATTTTGTGGGGGGCATGTTCAGTGTAAGAATAATAATAATTTTATTATTTTTCCCTTCCCATCTGTTCTTCCCTCCTTCCCTTGTGTGTTTAGGACATCAATGGACAGCCTTGCATTATTTGTCCCTGGCACAAGTATAAAATAACTCTGGCAACAGGTGAAGGATTGTATCAAGCAGTAAATCCCAGGGAACCATCTCCGAAACCCAAATGGCAGTCGAAAGGAGTAAAACAGAGGACTCATAGAGTTACTGTGGACAGCGGAAATGTTTATGTGACTCTTTCAGATACAGATGACAATATAGATTCTGATCATTATGCTAACATACACAATAGGATTATACTGCCTCCTAAGAATAAATAGCATCTTCTGTGCTTCATAGTAAATGGCTTTAAAATAACAGCGAATGTGAATGTTATCCTTGCTGTCTAAAGAGCATTCAGCTTCTGAGTGATGATATGAAACTGAGCTCCAGTCTCTCTAAAAAGGGAGTTGATCAGAGAAGTATTTGTGCCTTTGAGAAGAATATAGTATAGTGTGCTTATAACGGATTAATTTTGCCAGTAATCAAAATGTTAGAAGATTTATATTCATCCAGCCTCCAGAAGTGTCTCTCGCTTCCAGAATATAAAATGATGTTTTAAAAGTATGATGATGTACCAATGTTATCAATATAATTGGAGATGTTGTGCTTGTATGCTAATATGATTTGTTATTGTTGGGAGTCTTTGATTCTTTTTCTCGCGCTTAATCCAATCCTTCTCAAAATGATCGCCAAAGTTCATATTGGTTCCTGCAAGAATTCCCAAAGGCTGTTCCAGCTGTGCAGTTATTTAGCAGTGCCTAGATCTGCCTGTAAGTGAGGCAGGAGGGCGGCAGGAGGGAGCCCAGCTTCTGCCTAATGCAACTCGGCTAGAGGGCAGCTCAGCCATGTATCATCTGGAAGTGACAGGCTGCTTTTGGGCCAAATTGACCGTGCTGAAGGTATATCCTGGAAAAGCTGAACTCCTTGGTAGTTTGCCATGCCTCTCTTGACAGGCAAGGAGAAGAGTGCAATTGGTGTGTGTTGTGGCAGAATACTAGGTATGCCTCTATGTGGCTGTAGGGGGAGGGTAGGGGTGTGGTGTGGGTGTGTGAGTGAGAGAGATACAGTAAGCTAATGCAGTGAGAAACACCTGGGCAGTCCAAATTGGTGGAATGTACTCCAGAAAAGGGTGAAATTGCTTGCCAGAGGATGGAGGACCATGACTTAGAGAAGTCTATCACTCATCTTTAACACAGAGACACATAATCCTTCTCTGATAATGGCTTCACTTTCACGATATGATGCTCAAGGATTTGACACACTGGCATTTTTTCATGCTTATTCTTGTCTTGATAGATGTGCAATTACTCAGTTATGCATATTAGCTAGGTACAGCCATGCTCTGAGGAATGCAAGTATTTAACTCTTAGTTTGTCAGTTTTGTTTCTAGATGATATGCATGCATCACAAAGGTCTGTTGAAATACTTATGAAACTTTTGCTGAAAATGCAGAAGGCAAGGCTAAAAGCAAGACAGGGAACATATTGTAGTTTCATATGTGCCACATACTGCATTTTCTCCCTTGCCAACAAGTGGTTGACAGGTCTTCAGATTGCTTTCTCCTGGTCCTTGGAAACTCTGGCAACTGATGATGGCAAAGGAGCCAACTCCTAGAGGCCAGGGTCCCTTCGCCACCCCCCATAAAATATTTGAGTGGACCTCCCCCCCCCCAAATGTTGATGGGCGTTGCCATTCAAATGGTATGCATGCACCACATCATGTGATTGATTATGCAGGGAGGGCTTACCTGAGCCTACGCAATATTTTATTCAAGTTGGTACCCCTGGATGATGGCTTATCTAAGTGCAAAGCAATACCATGTGGCGCCCTTCTATGTGGCTGATGTAGTATTAAAAAACCCATCCTACTGTGTTTGCCAACCTCGCACAAACACTGCAAATCCCTGGTAGGTGCTGGAACTGATGCAGAGATGCTGTAAAAGCTTTCAAAAGTTATGCCACCACAAAGGATAAACAGCGGCAGCAGCAGCAGCAGCAGCAGAAACCACACATATCTGTAACATTTAATCCGGTCTGGGGTTTTTGCTAAGTAAAGAAATCTGCCCTTTTCTCCTAGCTGCAAACAGAGCCCTTTTCTTCCAGTAGCGAGAAACTGTGCACAGGAAAGAGTTTGTGAGCAACAAAGCCCCTATTACACAGTAGTTTGGGATAAGCCTGGCACTCACTGCTGTGTAGGTGGAGCTGCTGGGAGCAATCTGCCCTTCCTATACAGTATGTGGCTAGCTGACTGACAAGGACAATTGAGAAGGAAAAGAAAATAACCAAATTCCTGCACTGCCCTTAATTTGATGACAGTTCTCTGGAGTTCAGAGTTCTGAAACCATTTTCTAGTGTACGATTGAACTTTGTTTTTAAACCAAGCCCATAGGAAAGCTCTGTACAGTAATGCATACATACTGGAAGAGCGAGTTAAAAGACA